GATTTGGCACATTTATGATGGACTGAATGTTCACCAGTTACCATGGTGACACAACGCACACATTAGCAAAAACTGTTAAAATTTTTTAATATAAAACTCAAAAAAAAAAAAAAAAAAAAAAAAAATTAAATTAAAAAAATACAAAATTTATTTAAACAATGCATTTTCTGGAGTGCTGTTAAAGTGATTTTCAAAAAAGTGAGGTGAGATTGACTACCAAACAGCTGGTTAGTGCTAGCTACCTTGTGGCTGTAATTGTATGTGTTAGAGATTTTTAAGGGCACAAATCATCTCACCTGCTGTAATTCCAACCAGTTCGGCTCTTTCTGGTCAGACGGTGTTAAAATAAAGCTCAGATTAAGTCTAATTTGAGTAACAGAGCTTTTAACAGAGCAGTGCTTTCAGTTAACTTTACATCCCCAGGGAATGTTGATCATCAGCTGCAAAGTAACAATTGCAACTGGCAAATATCAGTGTCCCATTTTCCTGTTCCTTTCCTATGGTATGGTATCTTTGGATCTGTGATAATGTCAAAAATGTGAATCAGTGCCATGGAAGTCAATATTGCTCAAGAGATTCTGCTATTATTGGTGGTCAGGTGATTATAGACTGTTGGTGGAGCAGTTGCGTGTGTGCATGTGTGTGTGAGTGTGTCTGTGTAAGTGTGTGTGTGTGCATGTGTGTGTTTGTGTGTGCGTGTAACTGTGTGTGTGTGGGCAGAGCAGAGAGAGCACAGGGCTCTGCAGCGCCAGTGCACGACTGCAGCACAGCACGCGGCAAAACACACAATACACAAACTGTGCTTTTTCACCCTCTCCGCGCTTCCCCATTGAGAGTATAGCTGAAAGAGCCCTGTGAATAGATAGAGCCCATGGTCCCACAATCATAAGTCAACCCCTGTACAATGGCAACAGAAAATAGTGCTGTGTGCAGGAGTTTGAGAAATACAAAATACATATTTGAGATGAAAACGAAGAGCTGAGAGGAAACTGAAAGACTTTAACCAAGCCAGATGCTTATTGCTTTTACAGAACACACTGTTTTCACAGCAAAGAAAAAAATATGTCAGTAAAACTAACTACAAGTTTGGTGAGATTTGGGAAGTTACTTAATTTTAGCTTACAACTTAAAAATGGCTTAAGTATTGATTCACATTTGGGAAACATAATACATTGGAATCTAGACACTGAATTTGTTGATCACTTAGGAAGAAGACAATACATTAAAAGCACATTGTGTAACTTTTCTGGTAAAGGGTCCGTCACCAGTTTCTCTCCCTACTGCCAAGAATCTTCCACACTATGGCATTACACATTATTGCCCCCAATCTTAGTGCTACTGTTAGAGTTAATGGGGAGGGTGTACAGTTCTGGCTGTACTTCGATACTGGAGGCTGGAGTGGGACGGTACAAATACATATGTGGTGATGGCATCTGAACCATCTGTGACCGCAGTGGCATTTAAAATGACTGCCAGTGTGGGTAATGTCTGCAATCTTTTCCTCATTACTAGGCAGCAAAGAGGCGTATGGGAAAAAGTTATATATGGGTACAATAAAACAGCTCAGGAGCTCCACGATGCAAGTATGCACCAGTAGAGGCGCCATGAATATAGAATTTTGGATGGGCCGTGACAGAACTGTCTAGGTTTGTGTTCTGAACCCTCCGTGTGCATGTGCGCCCTGTAAGCCTGTGCACGCGCACACGTCAACATTTTTAGTTTTCTCTGTGTTCCTCCATTCGTTTGCCTCCTATTACGCAGCAAACCCGTGTCTATCTTATGCGTTCCTCATCCCACAGCAGACTCACTGACTGCTGCTCTTCCCCTGATCACACCTACTCCTGCCTGTCCAAGCGGTCTGCTCCTGTGTCTCTCAACAAAGGTACGAGTTTCCACTACTTCTACTGCTGACCACTCACATTCTCCACTACATTTGGTCCCACACAGGTGGATGTCTTGCAGATTATGTAATATGATTATTGTCATATAAATGTTTCTGATGTCCACTTTGCGCACAGACATGGATTAAACCCTTAACACATGCTGAGGGTGACTGCATGACCTGCATTTGCCCCGCACAAGTGATTGATATGCACCATGAGCGTACAGAGCAGGATGCAGGTTTCAGTACAGAGCAGTGCTCATGTGCACTGTAGGGTAAGAAAACACACTGAAGGACATCGCTGTAAACGGCCTCATGTCAATGAGCAGCTTTTGTACAGATCCAGATCAAACCAAACTATAGAGCAGTGCTAAACCGATACAGGAAGAGACTGAGGGGTTATATTCTGCTGCGGGAGGGCATCCGTACGGCACATGAACATCCTGCACAGCACACAAACATGTTATGAACATTAAGCATTTATCATCCGAATATATTTGCAAATAAAAAAAGCATATTACACATGTTTTTCAATGGACAATTTTAATATTTATTTTTAAGATTCTGTCAATTCACTGCATGCGCCACACCACGTCTTCAGTCTGCTTCACTGCACCTGACATTTAGCCAGGACACACCTCTTGTTTCGGACTCCACGCCCCACACTTGTGCTAAAGTTAAGATCGGGGGCAAGATAGGGCCCATTATCTCTATGGAGACAGCAGGAGATGCCCGGATAGGGCCCGGTTCTATGTCAGATGTATGGAGAGGTGAGTCCACTCACAATAAAAATGCAAGTTTTTAAGTCAATAAAAACTTGTGTTAGCAAGTAAATGCAAGTTATAATGTTTAATATTCTTGCACATTTGCATATTGCACTTATTGCTATATCACAAGAGCAATATATGTAGGCAAAATGAAGTCCTATTTGAAAATGTAATCTATCACTTACATGTGTCAGGAGGTTCACAGAGTATAATACCCCAGATACACACTCTATAGCTGTGTAAATGTGAACTTTCTTTGCCTTGTGTAGCTCTGAACAAGCAGCAGGAATCCACACTGTTGAGGCTGTTCTCATTAGGCACTTTTCACAAGGAGCTGGCCCAGATAAACTTGTGCTCAGCAAGTCTCCCCTTGAAGACTTACTGTTACTGCTCTAGATATGCAAACGCAACCCAGCACAAACGAACACAGAGGTGCAGAGATATTATGCAGAGTGTCTCACATTGGGACGTAACATTAACCAAAATATTGTGATATCATATCGTCAAAGGTCTCACAATAATATTGTGGACCATTACAATATATAGAATTACAAGTTTCTTCGCTTAAATTAATCGGTATAGTGCAGCAATAGCTAAAAAAAACCCCCAAAAAACAGGGAACTACATAAACCATAATCCTTTGCTCCATTTCAGTGCAGACTACATGAAGAAATAAATGTTACAAGCACTTTTAAATCTTAATTCTTTGTATTATCTTGTCAAGGCATTTTAAGAGGAAAAAGTAGAATATTCACCATTTTGTTAGCCTCCAAAAAGCATCACAATAAACACTGTCGTAAATGCGAGAAAATCATACTGAGAGATGTGGATATCATTACATAACCTAGTCTCACTTTAACATCAGCTCAAAGTGCAGAGTGACAAGTTTCGTCAAGCAGCACAATAGGTAAATACAGATAAATTACAGAACGATGCTTTGTAAAGAAGTAGAAACTAGGAGTGAACCAGCTACATATACTACATCACCAGAACAAAATCTGAAATTGAGTGGTTATATACATTTTTGTCATAATTTATAGATTTGATAAAAACATACTAAGACCAAAATACATCTTCCTACATACAACAACAATACAATGGCCAGGTTTTCAAAATTCAAAAACTGGGACACACCCGGGTTAGGATGGTTGGTATAAATAATACTGTGAAAAGCATGTAACATTGTCCATTCTCGACTCCCTTGTGTCATTGTGTCATAATCTGAGGGACTTCTGTCAGTGTAAAATCGTGCATTTTTTTGCCTTATGGTCATTTTCAAACACAGTTTTCTGTATTTTAGCTTAACAAATGACAGTATACTGCATTCTCCTCTTTAATGTTAGCTGGGATCAAACTGGTCAAAAATAGGTACACCTGAGACATTTTTGTATAAAACTGGGATAAAGTTTTGAGACAAGTTTTCGATAAATCTACTGGGACAGGGAGACACAGGACTCAAACCTGGGACTGTCCTGGGTAAAGGAGGACAGCAGTTCACCCTAAACAACAATAAGTTAGTTCAAGTTGATTCACTTAAGGGCCCATATTATTAATTTTTTTTATCTATGTTATAATGTTTCCTCATCACAAACAGACCTTGAGTTGTGTTTTGTTTTATACACACACGTTTAACACACAAACCCCATATTTAGGCAGAAAACACACTGTTCCACCTTGTGATGTCATGTGATAATACAGGAAGTGCGCCACTGTGTTTTTAAAGTCCCTATGCCTTCACTAAAATCATTTGTATGATTGCAGCCCTGGAATTGCTCTATTGAACAAAAGGTAAAAAGTAGATAACTTAACAAACTACTGCTTCACCATATCACAAGGTGGAAGCTCTGAAAATGTAGACAGACTAATTATAAAGGGTCAGACATGTGTGAATGAAACAAAACCCAACTCCAGGTATGTTTTTGAGGTGGTAACACCATTCTAACATGACTTAATAATATCAAAGTAATCACATTAATTTAGTTCTTAAATTAGGGTACTTTCTGAATGAAAGTCTTACAAATTCTCAAGTTAGCATGGCACAGCCATCACAGTAAGTTCACTGTTCAGTGCAATGACAGAAAAATCAGTTTCAAAAGAGACTGTATGTACAAACAGCGAAGGGAGTTAAGTTTTTGGCAGCCACTTGACAAACCAGCTGGAGTTCTTAGGTTCCTGAGCTGTAAACTATGAATAAAGGGTACAGAAAATATGATTCAAGTCACGAAAATCAAAACCTTTGTTACCACCTTCTAACTTTTGTACTTTGAGGTTTTGATCTTTCACATACCAGTGCGATTGATAACAAGGCGTACAGCAACACTAATGTACACAACACAAGCCGCAGGACTCACCTTGGTCCAGAGACTTGGCAGGGGCCCAGCTTTTGAAGTAGTCATCCTGAGTGAAAACACAAGGAAAAAATTCACTTCACACAGCGCATATGATTGAATTATTTTACAAAGGCGAGCAAGCACAAATGAAGGACTGAAAAAAGGCTCTTCTCACTTCTAACAAAAGGAAATGACGTGGAGAGTCTAAGTCAAGTGTTGGCTTTCCCTAGGTCGACCTGCATTTGAGAGCTGGGAATGATACAAAAGCAGGGTGAGGCAATAGTCTAATGTGCTTACTGGTGAAATGGCTCTATGTATGTATAGTCTAGTGCTATTTTCATTCACAATTAAAATATCTATCTGTTTGACAATTAATCAAATTTGAGATAGATTTTCAGTCATCTCAAATCATTGATGATCAGCTTGGGTCTTTTTAATAGAGAGGTCCAGAGCCATTCCTGTGTTAATAAAAGCATGTGGTTTGGGGCAGAGGGGATTTTGGAGGAAAACACTGAACTATTATTTAGTTAATGTGCACTATGGCAATGGTGCACTATGTAACATCTAAGGTAGAGAGCCCGCTACTTGCTTGTCTCCATGGAGATGTTACTTCTTTGTCTGGAGTTTTCCACAATAGAGCATTAAACATATCTCCCTTGCATTTGTTCAATTACAGGCATTTTATAACTCAAGAATACCTTAAAAAACATGAATTCTCACCATGTACAGGTGTGCTTCTCTGTAGATCTGACCATTAACCTGTCTTCATTGTGATTACCAAGTTTATTTCTATACTGTGAAATAATCAAGGCAAAACAGTAATATCTCCATGGAGAAAAGGAGGCATTTGTTTTTATTAAGACAAAATAAAACTTAAAATCTATGAGGAATAATTCATTTCTTTTGTCATATCGCCTAGTCCTAAACGAGACTACATTCTTTAACATTTAATTCTCCATGTAATTATGAACAATTATTTTATATGCAGGCATTGGGTAAGGAGTATAGCTATTTACAATACGACCCATTTTGTGGTTAACAGTCCATGAAGCAGTAGTTAACATAGGCAGGCGCACTGGCTTGAAACAACAGCCATAATTATGCACAAAGCAGCAGTAAACCCTGTGTGTGTTTCATTAGAAAATCATTGTATGCAGAGACCACTTCCACAAAAGGTCAGCTCTCACCGGGCGCACTATACATTCACTGTGGGGAAGTTGGAGATGTGTGTTTGTTTATTGCACTGGAGAGGGTTTCGTCCCACTGTCACAGAGCGGTGGAGTAGTCGGCATCTTAAGTAGGCGTGGAGCAGAAGCATATGGGTGTCAGCAGGGTGCAGGGCTGTGTCAGTGTCACAGACGGACCCAAGCCCGCACCATCTCCAGCTCTTTTATTATTCAATATGTGGCTGAGGGCGCACAGAAAGCAGCCAATTTAAGGAGATGTGTCAAGATGATTTGGTTAATTGATCATCATGATTATCTAGGTCACAATATCAGCGTAAGAACTAAAAATAATACAGTGATGGTTAGGGGTGGGATGAGACACAGTTTATGCAAGATGAGACACAACATGGGATTGGGTCCAAGAGAATGAGACAAGATGAGATTTTGATATGATTTATAATTCTTACATGTGCAATCCAGTTCATTATTTTTATTTATTTAATGTAAACATGAACATATAATAAGGTCTAGAAGAACCAAATATGGTGTTGTGTTGTTTTCAGTGACCTGTGCTCATTGGTGCAAAATCCTCCCAAATATTTTTTCTTGCATTTTATTTCCTCAATAAGGGCTAGCACTGCCCACCTGGGTGATGACAGAAATGTTCACCGTGTGACCAGATAGCTGTTAGAATGGAGGTTTTCATGGGCTCAGACTGCAGATAGGCTAATTGTCTTTTTTTTTTGTCTAAGATAAATGTAAATTCTCTTATTTCATAAAACCTTCTGACAGGAGATCTCGTGCCATCTGCACTGATAGTCCAAGAATTTATTTCAGAGGAAAAGTTATATATTTGACCAGTGTTCCTCAAACAGTGGTACATGTACCACTGGGGGTCCCCAAACTCCTTCTGGTAGTAGTTGTAAGGGTTGAAGTCAAGGGGTTACATAGGCAAGGTCCTCTATAGTTCTCTATAGTTTGCTTAATTCAAAGTAATTTTTTTGCACTTAGTGACCCCCTTTTGGATAATTTCTTGGTTAGAAAGTAGCAATAATGTAGTCCAATTTCAGATCTGCTTTAGCGTTAGTTTAGGCCAGGAATAGTATGATTATAGAACTGATTTAAATCTTAGTGAAGCGAATCACTGTATCAAATAGTGGTAGGTAATTGTGAGTTACAGTTATGTAGTTATATCATGATGTTTATTCTCATAATATTTGTAACACACCATTTTAAATGGTCACACCCCTAAATGTAAGTATGAAAGGGAGTGTAACATTAACTGTGGAAAATGGACATTTGACCCCCTCCTGTCATCCCACACTGACACAAAGTTAGAGCAGCTTACGCCTTATTAAACGCCTCCCCAGGGCCCAGACTTCACTCCAGCTCATTTTATGTCCATCTTCTCCCACTATTAAATATCTCTATTAGAAAACCCCTTTATAGTCACACAAGTGCAAAGACGGGCGTGAGACCAGGAGGTAATTACTGCAGAGTTCCAGCTCAAGTGTTCCACGTTGGCACAAATATATGATGCTATTAAAATTAATTCATTTGAGATGGCACTTCTTATCTTTTATTCTAAGCTGTAAATATTCCATTAAGTGTCTTTCTTGACTGTGTATATGATGAACATGGGCTCAAATGGGACTAGTTTTGATTAATTCTGTACACTACACATGCAAATCTGGGCTTCTGTACAATGAAGGAAGCTGTCTTATATTAAAATACACAATACCATGTGAAAATTATCCTTGTGAATTGTTAATTACAATTTGTCTCTGGGATCTTTAAGGCCATGACAACACAGTTTAGTCAGCCTATTATTATTTTTCAATGCATCAAGCTATTTTAAAATGGTGCCCCTACCAAGGAATTAGCTTCTTGAACATTGGGGCTGTAGGCCATAAGCAAAAATGTATTTAATCAGGTGATGGTGTCTTAGTCAGTCGAAATTATGAATTATTAAAATATAATTTTATTTAGATTATAAAAATTTATACAGTAACAGCAGAAAAGAGAAGAGTATTTTTGGTATGTATATACAACACATGGTTATAAATACTATACTTGTTTTTACAGTTGTAGACTCAAAAGTGCAGTTCGGGTCACATACACAGAGATACATAATAGTTTGGAGAGGTTTTGCCACACCCCCTTTTCAATTGTCTAATTGAAAGGCAGGACATGTCTAGAATTTCTTTAGTTGAATACATCCCTAACATACTAATCATTTGAAGACATGCAAATGGTCATATCCATGCAGATGACAGAATGATGGCAAAGAGAAGTAATACAATAAGAATCTATAAATAGTAATAATATGACTTACCTCTGCTTCCTGCTCAGCGATAGCAAAGTTGGAGGGCAGAAGAGAGGAGAGAGAAAGGAAAGGTCAGTGATAATGGCACAGTATGAGATGTCTATCAGGTCTATTACAAACCATGTGTTACTCATTCTGAATACTGAGCTCCACCTGGCTCATTCATCCAGTCGAGGGAGGCGCCCGAATGAAGCGCACCCATACGCTTGTTTCATAGGGTCTTCTTATTTGATGTGACATGTAATTTGAGACAGACTGGGAGCAGATATATGGAGTAGAGAAGAGGGGGCTGGTAGAAGTAAAGTAATAACCTTGATGCAGTGAGGATAGGTAAGCACATTTTCAGGACAGTGGAGAGTGCAGCACAAATCACTTAATTTAAATTATTTAGTGTATCACAGTGGTAAGGAGTAAATTCCACTTAGAGATATGGACCAAAGAGCCTAACTTCATTAACCGAGGGGCTGTTTGTAATGATTTGGTTACCAGTTTTTGACCATTTTAATCTTGAATGCAGATTTTTTTTGGCCCTGTTATAATCAGTGTTTAGTCCTAGTTTATTCCAGATTGAGTTAGGTTTTGATGTGGTGTGTGTGCAAAAATGTCATACATGTACATTCTTGTCTACTGCATAATGGTGTGCAAGCAGTTATGAAACTATTTTGATGTTTTTTGTAGACACACTGACCCAAATTAGTCCAATTAGACCCAATAAAGATATGTGGGGGCGCAGTGGCTACAATGGAACTAGCACTATAAAAGACAAAAACATTATTATATTATATGGTTTCTTCATCAAAATACAGATTGATGTAAATGCTTTTAACCTTGTGAAGCCATTAAGTGCCAGTCCAGGAAGTGTTTGTACTTCATCATTTGGATACTGAGATGCATTTCATCTATAAAGCATTCAACTATTGTTTTTATTATTGTTTTCACTCTTCAGTGCACCACCAAAGGGTGGGTCCTTGAGCTCCATCTGCTGGAAACACGTAGGTTATAAAGACATCAGCGCTGAATGAGTTTTACTTGTTTTCCATTCACACACAATATTTTAAAGCAACTACCCATGTAAGATGTCTTTTTATTGGTCTAAATAATGCATATTACAGGTATTGCAGTATTGTGAAAATAAAGAGAAAATTCTATTAGTTTAAAGACCGTTTACTGATACTTCTACTAAAGCTGCTACTGCTACTACTGTGCCTTACCGTAAGGCTCACTAGTCTCTTCTTGCACTTATTATTCTGCCTGAGTGTGAGGGATGACCTTTTCAATGCCCAAAGCCCCCATTAATATTTTAGAGCGCTCATCTCAAAAGCATTAACTGGCTGTTTAGCTCGCTGTGACACTGCCCCAATGTCATTCAAAGCCTTCAAAGTGATTACAGCCAGATAAAACCAAGTCGTTATTTTCTTTGTCAGGGGCGGGACTGAAATTTGTACCATCAGATATCTTTCAAATCGCATCCACACCAAGTTTCCAGCTCAAGTTGATTTAATTACGTCTTTTTGGGTTTAATTAAAATGGTTTAAAATGTAGCGCGGCATCTGTCCTGAAATGAGTGAGGATTTA